TCAGGATTATTAAAGAGAAGGTTGAGTTCTGGGAAGAGGAAAAAAATAATTTGTGAGCGTTATCATTTTTATTATGCAAGGGTGGAAGAATATCAGATTAAACATGTTCCCTGAAAAGCATGGCTCTTCAAATGCCTTCATATTCTAAATATGAATGAAACAGGTTCCATGACACATGCTCCGCCGACGATTGCTCCGCCGACATTTACTCCGCAAAACGCGACAATTGCTCCGCGACATTTGCTCCGCGACATTTGCTCCGACGTCAAATGCTCCGCCGACAGGTGCTCCGCCGACAGTTGCTCCGCCGACAGTTGCTCCGCCGACAATTGCTCCGCCGACAGATGCTCCGCCGACAATTGCTCCTCCGACAATTGCTCCGCCGACAATTGCTCCGCCGTCAATTGCTCCGCAAAACGCGACAATTGCTCCGCCGACATTTGCTCCGCCTGAAGCGACACTTGCTCCGCCGACATTTGCTCCGCCGACATTTGCTCCGCCGTCAATTGCTCCGCCGACGATTGCTCCGCCTGAAGCGACAATTGCTCCGGTGACATATGCTCCGCCGACAATTGCTCCGACGACATTTGCTCCGCCGACAATTGCTCCGCCTGAAGCGACAATTGCTCCGGTGACATTTGCTCCGCCGACAATTGCTCCGACGACATTTGCTCCGCATGAAGCGACACTTGCTCCGGTGACATTTGCTCCGACGACATTTGCTCCGCCCAAAAAGTGTCCCATTAAATACAAATGCTACTAGTACTACGACAAATGCTTCGCCGACAATATTTTTTTTCACGGGTTGTTTTTGTTTCTTTCTTTTTTTCTTCATTTTTTGAATGCATTTCATGACATTATGTAAATGAAATGAAATGAATGAATGTTGATAATGTGGGAGGAAAAAGCAGTTGCCTAAAAGTCATTTCGTATATACTGAAATAACTTTCCATCTATCACTGTACGTCCCACATAATGTACACTAAACACTCATTACATGTCATGGGAAGTTTTTTTTTTTTAAAGTAGAGCAGCAAGCCACATTCCCCAATACGCGCATACCTCCTAGTTAATTTCAAACAGCTCATCAATATGTAAGACCTGAAATTACCTCAATGAAAGAAGACTAATAACATGAGAGGAAAGAAAAGAGCAAAAAAGACAACCGTTTTTTTGCTATTCCCCATAATGTTAGATTTAAAAAAATAAAAAAATAAAATTATAGCTCCTTACGCAAGTTCTCCGACGAAAGATAATTACTCCGCTCAAAATCTGTTTCATGTATTACTCATTAGCTGATCCAAAGCTCAAGGCTATCTCTCTCTCTCTCTCTCTCTTTCTCTCTCTCCCATGCTCCTCCTTTTCCTGTTTACACCGTTTTCTTGTCTTCTTTGCTCTTTTCTTTCCTCTCATGCTATTAGTCTTCTTTCATTTCCATCACTTCTTCTCTGCTCCCCCTCTCGAGTTCTATTTCTCTCGTGAAATTGAAACGTAAAGTAATACAATCATGTAGTACATTCTTGTTTAGAATAATATTTTCAATAATATCCAGTCCATTTTCTAAAGGTTTCTTTCCTTTAGTTAAGTGTATGTAGCTTTAATATATATATGTTAGTGTGCAAAACACTCCGTTTCATTCGAGTACTTTGTTTTCACTAAATAATTTAAGGGACTCACGAAGCCACCGGAAGAAGAGCAATTGGCTTATCATGAAGAACTAACATCAAACTGCAACAAAATGATTTGTATAAATGTGAATAAGCAGAAAGGCTGCCATCTCATTTTCCCGTCTGAATGGGTTCTCTTCCTTACGTATATAAGTGCCCTTATTTTCTAAACTTTTTTTTTATATTTGTGTGTTTATTAAATTTTCAATCATATAAAAATTACATATTTACAAGTCATTGGTAATAATTAGACAAACAAAAAAAAACAATATGTATAAGAACAACTAACAATAATGAAAGGACAAGAAAGTTATAAAAAAAAAACATTATAGTAAAAAAAAATACACTGTACACATATAAATCATAGTTTGAACTCCAGTGCATAAAGGGGAGTGAGGGGGCACAGGAATAAAAGTTAAATCAACATGAGTATCATAAGTCAAATCGCCATTTCTTAAAATGCGAAACAAGCTTGTTCCTTTTTTTCGCTGAGAAATATTCAATATCTTTTTGTTTCTTTATAAAACTCTTAAAAAGATCAACACTTGGTAAATCCCCCTTACTTATTTTCTAAACTTCCATGATGACCTATTACATTGTATAATACTTTACCTAGTAAGATGCATTGATCGAGGTAATTTCAGGTATTACATATTGATGAGCTACTTGAAATTAACTAGGAGGTATGTGCGTATTGGGGAATGTGGCTTGCTGCTCTAATTTTTTTAAAAAACTTCCCACGACATGTAATGAGTGTTTAGTATATATTATATGGGACGTACAGTGATAGATGGAAAGTTATTTCAGTATATTCGAAATGACTTTTAGGTAACTCCTTTTTCCTCCCACTTCATCAACATTCATTCATTTCATTTCATCTACATTATTTCAAGAAATGCATTCAGAAAATGAAGAAGAAAAAAAGAAACGAAAAAAATAGGTGTAAAGAAAATATTGTCGGCGAAGCATTTGTCGTAGTACTAGTAGCATTTGTAGTTTATGGGACACTTTTTCGGCGGAGCAATTGTCGCTTCAGGCGGAGCAATTGTCGGCGGAGCAATTGTCGGCGGAGCAAATGTCGGTGGAGCAAATGTCGGCGGAGCAAATGTCGGCGGAGCAATTGTCGCTTCAGGCGGATCAATTGTCGGCGGAGCAATTGTCGGCGGAGCAAATGTCGGCGGAGCAATTGTCGCTTCAGGCGGAGCAATTGTCGGCGGAGCAATTGTCGCTTCAGGCGGAGCAATTGTCGGCGGAGCAATTGTCGGCGGAGCAAATGTCGGCGGAGCAAGTGTCGCTTCAGGCGGAGCAAGTGTCGCTTCAGGCGGAGCAAATGTCGGCGGAGCAATTGTCGCGTTTTGCGGAGCAATTGACGGCGGAGCAATTGTCGGCGGAGCAATTGTCGGCGGAGCATCTGTCGGCGGAGCAATTGTCGGCGGAGCAACTGTCGGCGGAGCAACTGTCGGCGGAGCATTTGACGTCGGAGCAAATGTCGCGGAGCAAATGTCGCAGAGCAATTGTCGCGTTTTGCGGAGTAAATGTCGGCGGAGCAATCGTCGGCGGAGCATGTGTCGGGTTACCATGAAACATCGTAAAAATCAGGGGGGGGGGGTGGTTTTTTCGCCATGTGCTCGTGTAGTCCCATATACATCATTCTGTGTACAGTGTTTGTAACTTTGCCAAGATTTGGCCAAATTTCATATCATTTTGATGATTCCAGAACCTTGCAGTACACACCAAGACAATACTAGATGATCAACCTCTCTGATATATTCCACACCGTTTCTTTCACAATGCAATCGCATTACCAGAACTCAAGTTTATTACCACATCCATCTTTAGAACTAGCTGATACTTTCCTTCTAAGAGAAATATAATGATGAGTTTGCATACTGAATGAGTTCTTTCCCTTCCACCTCACAGTAAACTACGTAGTGCTCTAAGGAGACTAAGTTTGAAAACCTGTACACAATGTATACCATGCTATATCAATAGTGCTTGCAAGCAAGATTGAATCTATTTCTGGCTTTCTGATGTTGCAGAGTCTGCCCAATTAACATCATTAAGCACAGTGCCCTGTTCTGTGTTGTTGTTGTTGTTGTTGTTGTGTTTTTTTTTTTTTTTTGGGGGGGGGGTGGGATTGGAGATTGACATTTTTCAACCCCAAGCTGGATAGGGGATTGAAAGTTTATGTTTTCCAAGATTGAGAAGGAGGAAGGCAATTGAGACTCCCAAGATTTAGGGCAAGGGGGTAATTAAATCTTTTACATCTCCCAAGACAGTTGGGGAAGGGGAACTTTTCCATTCAAAAATCCTAGGTGATGGGGGCATAATTGAACTACTACATCCCAGTATGGTTAGGGGGTTGGAACATATGCACCCCAACATTGATTGGAGAATGAGGAGGATTTTTCTTATGGGGGTGGGATATTTGAGGGGATAATTGAAACTTATGCCTCCCAAGATTTAGGAGGGGGGGGGGCGTAAATCTCTTTCATCCCAAGACAGTTGAGGATGGGACCTTTCGCATCCCAAAATCCAAAGACTGATGGGGAATTTCCATTCTCTAAAAGAAATATAATGATCAGTTATTGCCCTTCTGCCTTAAACTGTTGAATTTGAATTTTGTTTCAAAGTAGAGACCATGTTTCAAAGTAGAGACAATTCTAGACATTATCCTCCATTTCTCTCTTCTCTATTGTAGCTACACCTTGTCAATTAAAAGGCACATAAGCTTCTTCTTACTCAAATATTTTCAGTTGCTAAATCATCAATTATTGGCGTTACACTGACTAGGTCTAGTGTAGTGAAGTGACGGGAGAGACAGGGATTATTACTCAGGCATCTCTTTATGTCACCAAGATTGACACTCCCTCAAAGAGGAAAAACAAAGGGTTGGGCAGGGTCAGTTTCAAAATCAGATGATCAAAATGATACATTGCAAATGGATCACACTGATTTTGCATCACATCCCGGCTCCAAATTTCTAGCTCAGAATATGATGAGCAGCTAAACACAATGGTAGTCCGTCCAGTAAGACATAGCCCATCACTGATCAGTGAAACTCCTTAATGTTTACATGTTTGTAAAATGGACAGCTGGACTGATGGCAGCCTTCATGAAAAAAATGCTAAAATTTGGCAGTCTATTGTGCGCCATCTCAGGACGTGTATTTCAGTGTTGGCCCCAGAAGGCATTGATTATTAAAGCAAAGTTTGCAGCCAAGAACCGGCATTACTCTAGCTCAATTAGGATGTTCTTCTGTATCCCTCGTAGCCTATTAAACAACAAAAAAGCTTCCCTATATGGCTGTTTGATCTGGTCGAATATACTCACATGCAGGTGATAGATGGAGCTAGTGGTAGAGCAGTTGAAATTCCATAGCTCCTTCATCAAGCTCAACGGTGGCAGACGGCTTTAGCGGTAATGACTATCAAAAATAAAACATAAAATTGAAAAGTTACAAGTGCATGCTGAAAGACCTAGATCATCAGCAAGGTATGGCAGTCCATGAACCTCCTGCATATGATACTTACCTCAAACAGGTCAACTTGTATCAAATAGCCTCAACCCTAGTTCAAACCTAGTTCAAAATCTGAATTGCTGAGTTCCTTCAGGCATATCTGTATTAATCTAGTAAGCTTTTATGGGAAAGCGGGAGGATGAATAAAAAGCAGATTTACTGAAGCATGTGGGTTGCAATTGGCTCTCACACTTGGGCATCTGGTTATGATTCATCAAGTGAAATACTATCAGTAATTAAAATAATATCTCTTAGTTTCATTAGATTTAGAATGTTAATATTTCAATAAGGTCTATCTTCAACATGTGCCTGTTCCCCTACTCACTTTTTAAACAGTTTATCCTTCAGTAAATTACATATTTACCACACAAATCAGTAATATGAGTAGTACTCATAATAATCTGGTTATGATTCATCAAGTGAAATATTATCCGTAATCTAAATAATATCTCTTAGTTTCATTAGATTAGAAATGTTTGATATTTCAATACTCTCTCTTCAACACAATGCTTTTTATACTGGCCTATAGCCCTGTTGCACTAGACTACTCACTTTTTAAACAGTTTATGCTTCTGTAAATTACATATTTTACCACACAAATCAGTAATACGATAGCGTACTCATAATAATCTGGTCAATACTGTTATCTTCAACACAATGCTCTTTATAGTTGCCTGTTCCACTACTCACTTTTTAAACAGTTTATCCTTCAGTAAATTACATATTTACCACACAAATCAGTAATATGATAGCGTACTTGTAATAATCTAGTTATGATTCATCAAGTGAAATACTATCAGTAATCAAAATAATATCTCTAAGTTTCATTAGATTGGGAAGGTTGATATTTCAATACTCTTATCTTCAACACAATGCTCTTTATACTGGCCGATAGCCCTGTTCCACTAGACTACTCACTTTTTAAACAGTTTATCCTTCGGTAAATTACATATTTACCACACAAATCAGAAATATGATATCGTACTCATAATATTCTGGTTATGATTCATCAAGTGAATTACTATCCGCAATCAAAATAATATCTCTAAGTTTCATTAGATTGTGAAGGTTGATATTTCAATACTATTATCTTCAACACAATGCTCTTTATACTTGCCTGTTCCACTACTCACTTTTTAAACAGTTTTTACTTCGGTAAATTACATATTTACCACACAAATCAGTAATATGGTAGCGTGGGCGTGGAATAATAATCTGGTTATGATTCATCAAGTGAAATACTATCAGTAATCAAAATAATAACTCTGTTTTTTTGGATTTTGAAGGTTGATATTTCAATAATCTTTATCTTCAACACAATGCTCTTTATGCTGGCCTATAGCCCTGTTCCACTAGACTACTCACTTTTTAAACAGTTTATACTTCTGTAAACTACATATTTACCACACAAATCAGTAATATGATAGCATGGCATAATAGTCTGGTTATGATTCATCAAGTGAAATACTATCAGTAATCAAAATAATATCTCTTAGTTTCATTAGATTTAGAATGTTGATATTTCACTACTCTTATCTTAAACACAATGCTCTCTATACTGGCCTATAGCCCTGTTCCACTACTCACTTTTTAAACAGTTTAAACTTTGGTTAATTATATATTCACCACACAAATCAGTAATATGATTGCGTACTCATAATAATCTATTGAGTCAATCAGATTATTGATCTTATTTTCTGTCACTCAATGATAGGATAGCATACTTTTTTTAAATCATCATTTTGATCAGATCATTGGTCATATTTTCCAAGATAATAGGATAACGTAATCATAACGGACCATCTAGTCGACCAGATTTCCAATATTTTCGGTCGCACTGAAAACTGTTAATAAGTTCTACAAAAAATCTTCTACATTTGCTCTGATTTAATACTCATTTGACACACTTGACTCTACACTACAAGGGGTACGTTTTGCTTGATTTCTGTTTAAGAAATGCTTTGGTGACAAATACACTTACAAAGACAAGAAATACCCTGCAACGAATCTTGGAAAACAATTCCCAACTTGAATTTGATTCGAAAATAATATCGCTAGTGATATTCGTTTGTCTCGCAATGTGGTCAATAAGGAATCTAAAAGATCACGGCGTTTCGTATGCTACTGCGATACTTCGTCAGGGATCACCTGACGAAGTATCGCAGTAGCATACGAAACGTCGTGATCTTTCGATACTATATCCGCAATGAGTAATATATTTAGCATTATTGAATTTGATTATTTCTATTCAACAACTGATATTTTTTAGTCTGGAAATTATAGTTTACATTGTGCGTTGCCACCACATATACCAAGTGTATCCAAAACTGCACTATGGCATACAAGATTTTAATCAGGTTTGGTTTTTTTCACTGTTCATCCTGGTATAGATAGTGTTCCATGATGTTTAAATTCACATTTCATGAACCCCCTTTGAATTCAGGAAGTAAGACGAGATTGACATTGTCCAGAAATATCAGAATCTTTGGTGGTATAAGCCACCTACAGTTCTGAATATATTAACATACATGTAGTTTAATAAAGTTCAAAGTAGTTAAGTATAGTTTGATAGCGTTTAATGTAATTTGATATTAATTTAATAGATGTTAATTTCCATTAATATAGGTTAAATACATTAGTTATTTAGATTAGTTTATAATATAATGCAGGTTAGTCAACATGTAGTTTAATGTAGTTTTTAATAATGTAGCGTTAAATAAACTTTAATTTGTAGATTATATTTAATTAATTTTAACATCACTTCGTGTACATTAAACCTAAAAGTACTGTGGTTGGTCTAAACCGCTTTATGATTGTATCTAATATTTTTGGACAAAGAGAGGTTCGTCTTCCTTCCTGAAATTCAAAATTGGGTTCATGAATTGTAAAATTAGATGTCACTGAATACTGTTTGTATCACAACAAACAAAGGAAATTGGCACAATAACTGAAGTCTTGTCTCACAAATGTTACATATCATTAATGCTGATATAAGTTTGTTGGCACTGTTAATGTTAAAACAAATACCGGAAAGTATTTTCTACAGTGCTGTGAATTCCCAATACCTGCCACTTTATGTTCCACTCTCTGTACTATTAAAACATTCTTTAATTAATTACCACTGTTGCAAACGTGAAACGTGAACGTTCCTTCCTCACTCATAATTAATCTGAGGGGGCGAACTACATTCAGTAGCTTCTATCAAGCTCCATACGAGTTACACATACATTTTGTGTGTTTTGTGCACATTGAATTTTAAAAAGATACAAAAATGCGTGTATTTGAATTTTAAACTTTTGTCTAGGGTTTCATGTTTCAGAAGCAGGTCTTAGAGAATTGAAATGTTATGTTGAAAATAATGGGAAATTACATTTAATAGGATAGAGAAAAGAAAATCAATTCCTGACTTATCAAATTTAAAACATGCTTACTCTAACATCTCGTAAGCAGAACAAAATTTAAATAAAAGGCATTTAAACTTCCCATTTTGAAGTGCTTCCAAAATAATGATTTATAGGATATACATTGTTAGAATATTAGGGAGCTCCCATCTTTAATGTATTTATGCACTCTTGTGCAAAATTCTATGCACTTCAGAATGAATAGTTTTATGCCAGGCATAAATGATGTGGCTTAACAATGCAATATCTGTATGCATGAAATCACCATTGTTCTCCTTAAGAAATTAAATATTTCTGAATGGGATAAGAATAATCTAATACCTGCTCAAGCAATATCAATGAGAAACATGCTTCACATTATATGAGGAGAAAAATAGTACAAGAGAGAAAGAAAAGCCAAGCTCACTGTCTTAACAAATTAATGGAATCTGAACTGTTGCATTTTAAATCATTTTGAGAAATTAAAAATATATTTACATGAATCTGCTGATCTCATTCAAAATAAGTAAACATTGAATAATGAATCCAATTGTTCCAAGGAAAAGCCTCAAAAGCAAAATTAACAAGTGGCTAAAATGGTCTCCTGATTTACCAACTTTGTAATAAACTCAGGGGAGGCTAGTTTTAGACGGCCAGGCTCCCTCTGGGGATGCGACTTCTTATTTGTATACATCTTTTATTGGTGTTAAACTCAGGAGAGGCTAAAATCTGCAGTTTTAGCCGGCCAGGCTCCCTCCAGGGATGCAACCCTAGCTTGCATCCATAGGGGCTGTGAAGGGGGAACCCTGTTTCAGCCCTAGGATCAAGTGGCTTCGGCTCCTGGTCATACATTGCTTCCAAAAAGTGCCTTATGAGCTCACCTTTACACAGCTTTCCTTGCCTACATGTATTGTAATTGCTCCACTTGCCCTATATTTTGTCTTTTCCTGTAGGCTTGGCATGCCCTGTACATGTGCTGTGTCTTTGGTTCCTCATTTCTTTTTGCATACATCTTTTATTGGTGTTAAACTCAGGGGAGGCTAAAATCTGCAGTTTTAGCCGGCCAGGCTCCCTCCAGGGATGCAACCCTAGCTTGCATCCGTAGGGGCTGTGAAGGGGGAACCCTGTTGCAGTCCTAGGATCAAGTAGCTTCGGCTCCTGGCTTTTTTATGACATACTGCAATATATATGCTATATCTAATATCTGCCCAAGCTACATTTGCTAAATGCTTTTTTTCTCAGGCATCTGGGATGAAGGCCTGGGTTTCGATTGCAATTTATGCTATGCGTTTATATATTACATAATATAAAATATTGCATTATACCAGTTCACTTACCTGTAGTGGTCTTGGATTTATTCTGTCAACACAATGAACCTCTTGCCATGGGTAGGTCCCCTATAGGCCAAATAAAAAGGAAGAAAAGGTGATTATCTACTTTAAATATGAAATTATATGTATACATGTTTAAAAAAGGATGCTTTCCAGTCTGCATTTGACAAGAAAATACAAACAAAGTTCAAAATAAAGAAAAAGTTAAAAAAAAGTGCTTTACAGACGGGGAAAATTACAAAATGCCCAAATGCATTTATTCTTAATTTTTTTCAAACATATTTGTATTTGTTCAAATTTGTTGTCAATATATTATTGTGGGCCTTACAAACAAAATATGGAATACATTCCTTTGTTGATTCTTGGAATGAATTGGTCATATTAAACCAAGACTTTTGATAACTGGTGATATTTTTGAATTACCCGGTGAGATAAAGCAAAGGCTTGAAGTGATTTTGTGATGTATAGATTTGAAATGACTTTGTTATATGTTAGATTTTTGCAAAGACTTGTATTGCAATCCACATTTATATCGAACGTGATATAACGGACAAAAAAAAAAAAAAAAAAAAATCAAATTAAAGAAAACGTAAAAAAAACAGAGGTCGTTTTACAATATTGGGGAACAGCAGACAATATAACTGCATTTATTTTATTACTTTTTTCATACATTTTTTGTATTTATGGGTTCTTGTGGGGTTTTTTTACCCCTAAAAATTGAATGTCCGAGTTAATGTGAGGATTGCTAACTCTTCTCTTCCTTTTTATTTGGCCTATGTACATCCTCCGTATCTCATCTATTTATGTATGCAATAATATATATTTTTTGTTATTTCTATAACTATGACAATATAAACTGTGTGCCCCGCAGAAGGGCATAAACAGATGCAGTGCCAGCAGATACTTTCATTACACATTTAACCGTTCTTAAACTCTATTTCAGTCCATAAATTACTTTTTCTTTTTAAAGAAATGATATTTTGTTCTATTTCTGTATCATGTTTTTGTCTAGTCCCCTTAATACACACCCAGAAACTAAACAAATTACTAAATTGTGTTAGCACTCTTTTTTATTATGTACATAGTCTAAAATTTTGATAAATAATATCAACTTATAACATCATTTGTGTATCCTTTCAATGAAAACAAAATAAGAAACTGAAGATTTTACCAAAGTTTTGTTAGCACCCTTCCCCCTTCTAAAATTTGTCCACATTTTTAAACAGAAATAAAAGCTCATAAAAACTGTAAATCATTTAAAATGTAGCTTTTGAAGCTTCTACCAACATTGAATTTTGCCTGCGCAACAAAATTCAAGGTTGGCAGAAGCTTCAAAAACTACATTTTATCATTATCCCCAGCCAATGCAATTTTTATATACATCATTTGTTTATCCTTTTGATAAAAGACTATTTAAGAAACTGAAAAGAATACCATATTTTGTTAGCACCCTTCCATCTTCTGTAAAATTATCTTATTTTCTCATTTTTTCTAAATGGTAATAACAGCTCATCAGCTCATAATATCTCTGCATCATTTGTTTATCCTTTTAATAATAAAAACTATAGAGAGATGAAAAATTAACATTTTCTTTAACACCTTTTGGCTTTTTGTACATGTCTAGATTTCTCAATTATAATTACTGCTTGTAACATCTCCACATCGTTTGTTTATCCTTTAAATTATTAACTAAAAAAAAAAAAACTTGGACCAAAGTTGAGTTAGCACCCTTCTGCGGGGTACACAATGATGATATATACATATACAGCAGGGCAGCTGGGAACCCTGTGTGTGATTTTTTTGTTGAAGAGTACAACTCTATATGTTATATTGAAAAAAAGAGAATTTATTGTTGTATTTTTGGGCATATCCACAAATAAGGACATTAATTCACGAGATTAACTTTTGTACAACTTAAATCTGTGAATTGTTTGTTGTATTTTTCTATTTTTCTTGTAACCAACATTTGATTGGAATTATATAACAAGATATTGATTTTGTGGGACCAAAATGAAGATTTTTAGCCGGCCAGGCTCCCGTTAAGGGATGACACCCTAGCTTGTTTCCATAGGGGCTGTAAGCCCTAGGATCAAGTAGCTTCGGCTCCTGGTTTTTTGTTGTTGTGAGTTCCGTATACATATTTTTTGTTGTATCGAGCAATTTTGACATTGTATATCAGTGAAGTACAGGGTCCCAAATTTTTGCCACAGTTATCTCTCTTTGTTGTATTACCGGTCAATTCTTGCAATGTATGATACTCATTCTTGTTCTCTGTAATTTTTTGTTCTGTTTATATATTTAGCTCTTGGTGTTAGAGCTATCAAGGGGAGGCTAGAATCTTCATTTCTTTTGTGGACTCGATCATTGTATGTTAATGTACCTTTATTGTGGATATGCCCCTTTACATTTTATATGTGGCGCTTGATCTGCCTCATTTGTATACGTTGTATATTCAGTGCGTTGAATGGTCTGTGCTTGTGTGTTACCTACTTTCCACAACGGGAAACCATGTACAACTCTGTGATGTAAAGAAAAGTGAGATGTTCTTTTTTATAATTACATATTACGTGACGTTCTTATGTCATATTGGTCAGATTATATATGGCCATGTGTTATTTTCCCACACAGGGATATGTATTATGGAGAGAGTTTATTTTCTATATATTCATATATTTACATATCATATACATATTTCATATGACAAGCTTATCTGACGATATGCCTCCTTGTGTACCTACAATGTTCATTTCATATTTTCATGAGAGTGTTATTTTCCCACACAGGGATATGTATTATGGAGAGAGTTTATTTTCTATACATTCATATATTTATATATCATAAACATATTTCATATGACAAACCTATCTGATGATATGCCTACTGTCAATTCAATTCAATTCAAATGAACATTTATTTTCTACTATTCAATTTGACAAACATATTTAACATCTGTACAATACAATTTATATGTTGAAATATTTGACTGCATATACTTCGTTACAAGTTCATGCATTTATACAACATAGGCCTATACATACATGTATGTTTACATAATTATACACATGCATACAACACATATATATACTTATACATCCATACACATCCCCTTATACAATATACATACACACTCATCAATCATATCGGGTATAGGGCTTATACTTATGCACTGTAATTTAAAATGATACATTTTTTAAGCTTCCTTGTGTACCTCCCATGTTCATTTCATATTTTGATATGAGAGTTTATTGTAATACATTTATATTTCATACAAGCTTATCTGTGAATAAGACTTCTTTGTATATCTTCCACGCTAAGTCCCTGACCCTAATGGTCGAATAAGTTGTGTCTATGTGCCATTTTCCACAGTACTGCATGGCAGTTGGAACCCCTGTATAAAAGAGTACAACTATTTTGATAAGAGTTTATTGTATTACCGGTACACTTATGTTTTATACAACAAGCTTATTTGTGAATAAGACTTCTTTGTTTATCTTCCACGCTAAGTTCCTAATAGTTGAATAAGTTGTGTATATGTGCCATTGTCCACAGTACTGCATGACAGTTGGAACCCCTGTATAAAAGAGTACAACTATTTTGATGAGAGTTTATTGTAATACCGGTACACTTATATTTTATACAACAAGCTTATTTGTGAATAAGACTTCTTTGTATATCTTCCACGCTAAGTTCCTTATGGTCGAATAAGTTGTGTATATGTGCCATTGTCCACAGTACTGCATGACAGTTGGAACCCCTGTATAAAAGAGTACAACTATTTTGATGAGAGTTTATTGTAATGTACACTTATATTTTATACAACAAGCTTATTTGTGAATAAGACTTCTTTGTATATCTTCCACGCTAAGTTCCTTATGGTCGAATAAGTTGTGTCTATGAGCCATTTTCCACAGTACTGCATGGCAGTTGGAACCCCTGTATAAAAGAGTACAACTATTTTGATGAGAGTTTATTGTAATACCGGTACACTTATGTTTTATACAACAAGCTTATTTGTGAATAAGACTTCTTTGTTTATCTTCCACGCTAAGTTCCTAATGGTTGAATAAGTTGTGTCTATGTGCCATTTTCCACAGTACTCTATGGCAGTTGGAACCCCTGTATACTAGAGTACAACTATTTCGATGAGAGTTTATTGTAATACACTTATATTTTATACAACAAGCTTATCTGTGAATAAGACTTCTTTGTATATCTTCCACGCTAAGTTCCTAATGGTCGAATAAGTTGTGTCTATGAGCCATTTTCCACAGTACTGCATGGCAGTTGGAACCCCTGTATAAAAGAGTACAACTATTTTGATGAGAGTTTATGGTAATACACTTATATCTTATACAACAAGCTTATCTGTGAATAAGACTTCTTTGTATTCTTCCACGCTAAGTTCCTAATGGTCGAATATGTTGTGTCTATGTGCCATTTTCCACACGTACTGCATGACAGTTGAAACCCCTGTATAAAAGAGTATACAACTATATTGATGAGAGTTTATTGTAATACATTTATATTCATACGAAGCTTATCTGTGAATAAGACTTCTTTGTATACTTGATACTTGATGTAAAACCATGACATTTAACTTAAATTATGTGAGAGCCTTCAGGAGGCTGCATCATATAATGAAGGGTAGATCATCCTACTTTAAGTAGGTTGTGCCAGCCTCCTTTATCATCTGAGGTTATTAAGATGGGAGTTGTCAGCAGACATGTTACAGCCCTATGTTCCAAGGCAATAGTCAATGAATTACCAGTGTATGAGCCTGAGGAGAGGAAAGCAAGACTAGATGTGTGAAAAATGTTATCTGGCATGCTTGTTCACATGAAACAATTTTATTTTATTTTATTTATTTATTTATTTATTTATTTATTTATTTATTTATTTTTTTATTTTTTTTTATATTTTTTTTTTTTTTGGGGGGGGGGGGCCGGGATTGTCTGGTAGGCCATTTAATTGACTTTAAACAACAGGTCGAGTGTTCAAACTTCCAAGCATCAATGTCCGAGCTGTACAGTCCATATGATATATGCACACACACAAACTCTAAAAATGCCGAGGTATGAGCCTTGCTGCTTGGCAAATATTTTAGGCAACACAGGTTTGGCTGCAATAAATGGCTTCACAAAATGGCGGATGTCAGCACCACTTCATTGGAAAAAGAATGGGGCTAAAATTGTATGGCAAAAGTCAGCACTATTGAACAGGAGAAATGGGCCCCACTACGTGGCGGATATATGTACCACTCCGTAGCAAAAAGGGTACCACTATGTGGCAGATATATGCACCACTACGTAGCAGATAGATGCAAACCTAAATGGCTGACGAAATTGACTGCATTGCAAATATGGGTCTCACTATGTTGTGGATATAAGCACCACTGACATAGCAGATACTGTCAGCACTAATGCAAAAGTCAGCACTAATGCAAAAGTCAGCACTAACGAACAGGAGAAATGGGCCCCACTACGTGGCGGATATATGTACCACTCCGTAGCAAAAAGGGTACCACTATGTGGCGGATATATGCACCACTGACATAGCAGATAATAGCCAACAGTATTGATACTACAAACTGCAATGATCTCTTTTTAATCAAGATTGCATCAGCCCTAAACAAATGCACTTGGGTCATAATGACAGCCTAAGTAAAACCAAAATTATATTGGAGGACCACTCCATAGCAGACATGAGCCACGTACAAGAAGCCATTTAAGCCTTGGAGTTACTATATTCTAAAAATGCTGCAATTATTAGAGACTGTGCAAGCCTTAGACTGATCGATGCTCTAGCTGGTGCCAGAAACCTACCTGTTCATAAACATCTTCATGACCTACACATTATAATCGTATTTGTTATTATTTCCCAGGCTTTTAGACGGTACTAAAGCTATGTTATTGTCGGAACATGTTGTGGATATAAGCACCACTGACATAGCAGATACTGTCAGCACTAATGCAAAAGTCAGCACTAACGAACAGGAGAAATGGGCCCCACTACGTGGCGGATATATGTACCACTCCGTAGCAAAAAGGGTACCACTATGTGGCGGATATATGCACCACTGACATAGCAGATAATAGCCAACAGTATTGATACTACAAACTGCAATGATCTCTTTTTAATCAAGATTGCATCAGCCCTAAACAAATGCACTTGGGTCATAATGACAGCCTAAGTAAAACCAAAATTATATTGGAGGACCACTCCATAGCAGACATGAGCCACGTACAAGAAGCCATTTAAGCCTTGGAGTTACTATATTCTAAAAATGCTGCAATTATTAGAGACTGTGCAAGCCTTAGACTGATCGATGCTCTAGCTGGTGCCAGAAACCTACCTGTTCATAAACATCTTCATGACCTACACATTATAATCGTATTTGTTATTATTTCCCAGGCTTTTAGACGGTACTAAAGCTATGTTATTGTCGGAACATGGGGATTAATACCTCAGTCAGACCGGTCTCCAAACCAACCCCAAACCGACTCATTCTTGGCCATTCGCCGTACTGGAAATTCATGTTTGGTCTGGTGTTGGTCTTGTTGGTGTGACTGAGGTATCACTGTTCAACTTTGTATACTACGGTATTATGAACCTCGCACATATTCATGTACATAATCTTAACTATGCGCATGAGCAGAAGACTCACTTGTGAAAAGCTGATTTTTAAAAAAAAAAATTTTTTTGGGGGGGGGAGGTTGTCAGTGAATTTATACAGTTACATGTAACATCAGCAAGTAATTTATTGTACTTGTTTATGACTCCTAAATTGTACTTCAATTAAAAATATGATTTTATAGTAATTAATATTTATCTATGTATGAATATTAAAATTAAATATAAAGTCATTAATAAGATCATGTGATCATGAAGTTGAAATTTAAAAGTATGGTTTAATGCTTTAACATTTAGTGTTGATTCTGTAAAGGTTAAGTTTAAATTTCTAATATGACTTACTCTGTGATTAATGAATAATGTGTAATTTGTTTAATTGATTCATGCTTGATGTTTAATATATACTTTGTAACTATGTGAAAAAAGAATTTCCATTTATTTGGACAATAAAAACAAATCAATCAATGTCATCTGCAGACATTGCTGATCCAGACTTAGCTGTTGCCATGCAACACCACTTCTTTTGAAAATGTGAATAAAGATAGTGACTCCATTTTAAGGTGCAATAGGAAAATCTGACAGATAACTAGTAAATGTATATGAAAAATAAAAGTGTTGCACCTAAGGTGAGCAATATCACAAATTGGTACATGTTTATAAGTTACATTCATGTTACATTTGAGAAATGTGAAGAAAATATCAATAAAATGAAATGCAGACTGATTAAATAAAATCAAAAATGTGTCTTTATTGTATCGTTGCTTTGTTTTATTATTTCAAATTTGGTTTGATGTTCTTACATGTCTTATTTTCTCCTTTCATCCCTGTCATGTCTTTGGTTGATGTGCTTTTCTTGTGTCAGTCTGTGGGGCTAGCTTGGTACCAGTCATCAGGCGAGCCGGAAGCAGTTTGGGATTGATCGGGTGGAACATTCCAGTGGGCTCACCTTTTAAGCGCTATAGCTATAATGTGGGGTTGTTTAGCTGTATGGTTAGTACTCAAATGAAGACACATAGAGAAACATCAGAGTGAAGTTGCAATCCAGCATGACTGGTTATATTGTGTATAGAAGAGCCCATACACCACAGTGTACATTAACTGTGTGTATGTGTGTATAGCATGTAGCATTGAGTCAATGTATAAGATCACATATTACATCCCCCTTACAGAAAAATAAACTGAGTCCATAATGTCCAAACTTGAAGTATCCAAAGATGAAGTCCTATCAATAAGTCAGTTTTTCTGGCTTCTTGATTACCCGGCCACTGCGGGTGGTCTGCTGGTGGTTGGGGATTGGGACAGGGTTTGGGCCAGGGTTTGGGGCAGGAGAACCTCTGATGCCGGGCGTTGGATCAAGCGTCATCTCTTCGCGTGTATGAGGATCGGGTGTCTTGGTTACCTCCTCATCATGATGGATACGCCTGGGCTCAATATCAGCAAGGTGTTGCCGGTTTCTGCGTAGCACCCTTCCATTAGGCGTCTCGACGAGATATGACCTAGGCTCATGGCATTGCTCACGAACAGTAGCTGTTATCCAGTGACGTGATGTCTGGTCTTGGACTCTCACAAGCTGCCCAGGTGAGAGTGGTGCTAGGTCATGGGCTGATTTGTCGTGATGATACTTCTGGCTCTGCTGTCGAAGCTGCATACGATGGTTAACATCATCACGACCAGGGGAGTTGTTGCGGATTCGAGTTGGTAAGTTGTCCTTCATCTTCCTCCCGTAAAGAAGCTCAGCTGGGCTTGGTATGCGGCTGTCAATTGGAGTGGCACGGATACATAGTAGAGCCATGTTGGGGTCGATACCACTCACTTTAGCTTTCTTGAGCGTATTCTTGACAGTTTGAATCATTCGCTCAATGAAGCCATTTGACCTGGGGTAGTGGGGAGAGGATGTAACATGGCTGAATCCCCACTGTGTAGCAAAGTCTCTGTATGTTGAGGAGTCAAAATGTCTTCCGTTGTCGCTAACGATTCTTTCTGGAACTCCTTGTTCTGCGAACACCTGACGGGTCGCATTGACTACTGCAGCACTGGTACACTCTTGAGGCATTTTCCGGATGAAAGGGAACTTTGAGAAGTAATCTGCAATGATGAGATAATTGTTCCCTTCAAAGTGAAATAAGTCTGTACCTAAGACTTGCCAGGATCATGTGGGTATCTCGTGCTGGAGAAGAGTCTCATGGGGCTGCGAGGGCTTGTACTCTTGGCAGACTGAGCAGCCTTTCACCAGGACCTCGATATCGTCATTGATTGATTCCCAGTACACAGAAGCCTTAGCCCGAAGTCGTGTCTTCTCGATACCTTGATGACCTTCGTGGAGCTTGCTCAGTATGTACTCCCTCATGGAGTGTGGAATAAGGATTCGTTCACCATTCAGGATCAGTCCATCCTCAACTGCAAGTTGATCTCGAAAGGCCCAGTATCTCTGCAGCTGCCGTGGTAGCTCACGTCTCTTCTCTGGCCACCCTTTCACAATCACCGTCTGTAGTGCTGCAAACTCTGCATTCTTGGCTGTTTCCTCCTTCAACTGACTCAACCGGTCTGGAGCAAACTGTACAAAGTTGATTTGCAGGTCAAGGTGGATGTGTTCTGGAGGGCCAAGAGGACGTCTGGATAGGCAGTCAGCTACTGGTACATCCTTACCAGGCTTGTAGACAATTGTCAGCTTGTATGGCTGTAGACGAAGGAGCATACGCTGGAGTCTAGGTGGAGCCGCTGCCAGGTGCTTATGCTGGATCATCTCCAGGGGCTTGTGGTCCGTCTCAACTATGAAACTTTTCCCGTACAGTAAGATGTGGAATCGTTCACAGCCGAAGACCACTGCAAGCAGCTCTCGCTCTATGTTGGCATACCTCGTCTCTGCATCACTGAGGGCCTTTGATGCAAACGCGATACCCTTTCCATCCTGCAGTAGAGTCGCTCCCAAGCCCTGCAGAGAAGCATCTACCTGCAGTACCGTAGGCTTGTTAACATCGAAATACGCCCGAGTTGCATCGTGACATACCTTGTCACGTAAATCATTGAAGGCAGACTGGTGCGTTGGAGTCCATTGGAATTCAGCGTCCTGCTTCAAAAGACCACGTAGGCTTGCAGTCTGGGCTGAAAGATTTGGTATGAATGGGCTAAGGTAGGTTATCATACCAAGGAACTCACGAAGCTGGCTCTTGTTCTCAGGTGGAGACATTGACTTGATTGCCTCGACCTTGTGAGGATCCGGATGGACGCCATCTGCATCGTAGATCATACCGAAGAAGGAAATCTGGTTGACCTTGATGCTGCACTTGCCACTGTTGAACTGCAGACCGTACTTCACAGCTTTGGACATGAGGTGGTGCAGATTCTGATCGTGCTCTGCTTCACTCTTGCCGAACACAACAATATCGTCAGCGATCCCTATTGTGCCGGGGCAACCTTCGAGGATTTCGTCCATTCGCTGCTGGAATACATCCTGAGATATCTCAGGATGCCTTTCGGTCTAGCAATGTCTCAGGATGTATTCCAGCAGCGAATGGACGAAATCCTCGAAGGTTGCCCCGGCACAATAGGGATCGCTGACGATATTGTTGTGTTCGGCAAGAGTGAAGCAGAGCACGATCAGAATCTGCACCACCTCATGTCCAAAGCTGTGAAGTACGGTCTGCACTTGCCACTGTTGAACTGCAGACCGTACTTCACAGCTTTGGACATGAGGTGGTGCAGATTCTGATCGTGCTCTGCTTCACTCTTGCCGAACACAACAATATCGTCAGCGATCCCTATTGTGCCGGGGCAACCTTCGAGGATTTCGTCCATTCGCTGCTGGAATACATCCTGAGACATTGCTAGACCGAAAGGCATCCTGAGATATCTGTACCGTCCAAAGGGACTGTTGAAGGTAGTCAGAAGTGAACTGTCATGGTCGAGCTTGATAGACCAATAACCGTTCTTGGCATCGAGTTTGCTGAAGTGTCGAGCACCTGATAGCTTGTGTATCACCTCATCTGTCGTGATAGTGCGATAATGGCAACGTCGAATAGCTCGGTTGAGATCCTTGGGATCCAAGCAGACACAGAGTTTGCCATTCGACTTCCTTGAAACAGCGATGCTGCTGACCCATGCTGAAGGCTCAATGACTTTAGTGATCACGCCATTACCTTCCATGTCATCAAACTCACGCTTCAGTTCATCTCGTAGGTGGATTGGGCACCGTCTAGGAGCATGGACAACAGGCTGAACGTCTGGATCAAGAACAATACGATATTCTCCTGGGAAGTTGCCAATTTTGTCAAACTGGTCTGGATACTGCCTTACTAGGTCATCAGTAGAGCTTATCTGTGCTGAATGCTTGATCTCGTTGATGCGTGTGTGTAGAGTAAGCAGCTTCAGTTTCAAGCCTGTGTCACATCCGATAATCGCTGGACCCCTGGACTCAACGATGTAGAATGTAGCATAAAGCCAAGTTGAGTTGTTGAAACGACAGGGCAGCCGAACCGAACCGAAGTGCATCACTGGTGTTTCGTTGTAAGCGAACAACCGTGCACTTGAATTATGCACTGATTGAGGGTGAGGAACTCCATCCTTAGTGAGATGGCCAGGATACATCCCACGAAACATCCGAAGAGGAAGTGTGTTGCCCTCCGCACCGGAGTCAACCTTCGAACGCAGTTTCATTATGGTTCTCTCATCCCGTCTGACTTCCACATACGCTATTGTTAGGTCGTCCCTGTCATCCACCTCTACAGCACTGATACCTGACACAATAATTCGATTGAATGACAGGACATCCACTGCGTCATTCAGTAGTGGGACCGCTGCTGCTGCTTCAATATTGTTCGTGCTGTGGATGGAGTGCACCTGCTTGCCTCCACGATGTGGCGTAGCGCATTTAGCTTTCTGCTTCCACTTCTGGGTACTTGAAGCTGGAGATCTCCCAGACCACTGTGTACTTGGAGCTGGAGACCGACAAACACTCCTCCAGTGATTCAACTTTCCACAGCTGTTACACTTGGTGCCATAAGCCGGACATGCTTCCCGTGGACTGCGAGCATGATTACCACCACAATTAGGACACTTGTTACTAGTGTTAGTCTTCCGACGAACTACATCAATCGATGCAGGCTGAATATGTGTCTGTACTTGCGCTAGTTGAGCCATGTGCATCTGCGATGCTTCAAATGTTCTACTCAGCTCAAGCATCTGTGTAAGAGTGAGGGACTTGTTCTTCCCTAGAAGATCTTTCTGGAGCTCAGGATATCTAGTGCCTGTGATGAACTGCTCAATGATGCGTTCTTGGAGCTCAGTGTCATCACGAAATTCACAGTCATATGCCTGCAGCTTCAGGCGCGAGATATAATCATCTGCACTTTCCCTCTCCTTCTGCACATATTTCTGAAGGTATAGCCTAGCTACACGGAAATTTGCCCTTGGCCTCAGTTGTGTCTCGAACTTCTCCCAAACAACAGTTGGATTCTTCTTATCTTCACCTTCCAGACCCCACGAGTTGTAAAGCTTGATACCCGTGGCACCAGTGAACAAAAGAACATGATCCACTTGCTTACCAATCGCAACATTCTTGACTGAGAAGTATAAGTCACACTGCTGATGAAAAATCTTAACAGCATTGGCTCTGTCGGGGTCTTCCCAATTCATGCGGGGTGTAAATGATTCATTCATAGTTCATACCAGCTACTCAAACTCCAATAGTAATGCAAATGTCAATGCACATTTTACTTACAGTAAAACCATCATATGGGACTGTAGAAAGGAGCACCTGTTGATCCAATGACAGTGTGTCAATAAGATGGCCTCCAAAATCTCTCCAAAATGATGCAAAGTTCACAAATATTGTCTAGTAGGTTCTATATCGCTGCCACCATATAATGTGGGGTTGTTTAGCTGTATGGTTAGTACTCAAATGAAGACACATAGAGAAACATCAGAGTGAAGTTGCAATCCAGCATGACTGGTTATATTGTGTATAGAAGAGCCCATACACCACAGTGTACATTAACTGTGTGTATGTGTGTATAGCATGTAGCATTGAGTCAATGTATAAGATCACATATTACAATAGCAAAATGCAAAAAAATAAAAATCTGCATCATCACCACCACTCTTCCATGTTACTTGCAGGCCGCGCGGAAAGTGTGTGGAACGTTTTTCAAAGTGGAGGATTAATGATCAGGTAGGGTGTAGCCAGCGAAACGAGTTGAGCATAAATTGGCGTGGGGTCCAGGGGCACAGCCCTGGTAAGGTCAGGGATTTTAGGCATTAAATAAAGGTCAGATAAGCATAATTAAATACTTGATTTACCTCAATAAATCAATGTATCTACTTATTATTTGCTAGTTTTCCTATACACTACTCAGCCATCGAGAACTAAAACGTCACGTCCGCGCGGCCGTCAGATTGTAAAACGGTCTAACTCGAAACTTTGACTTTTTGAGGTAAATTCACTTTCTGGGTAATGTGAGGGCGCTCTTTCCAATGATAAAATCCCATCATGTCTTCTTTTAGAGATAATTTCCGCTATCTTGGTACTTTTTTGTATTTTTCCTTTAGATTTGATGGTAAAACGGTCTATCTTTGAGTTAGCCCATTGTCGGTAATATCGTTCGGAGGTAAAACGAGGTAAAACGAGATAAACCTTTTAACCTTCTTTACTGAGATTTTTTAATCATCGCTGTCAGATGGTAAAATGGTCTATCTTTGAGTTAGACCAGTTTACCTAAGTTAGCCCATTGTCGGTAATATCTTTTACATAGTATGGCTGCATTGTGTTTATGGTCTAACTAGAAGATAGCCCATTTTACCATAGTATGGCAATAGTGTTTATGGATAGACCATTTTACCATTTTATGATGTGTAGTGGGAGTGTATTCATGTGCTGTGGTTAAACAGTCTATCTGCACAAAAATCTCATTTATTTTATAATTAAAACCCCCCAAAAGCACAAAATTCTTCAGTTATCAGTGTTTAATATGCTTCTTCTTGTCCCATTGCTAAAAATGGATTATACCCATCTCCTAAAAAATCTCAAACCTCTAAACTTCAAAGTCATTTTTCTCAGAATAGCGATTTTCGAGATAGACTGTTTTACCATCTGACGACCACGCGCATGTCCCACCCCAATAGATCGCCTTCCCAGGGTCGCGTGCACAACATTTTTGTTTTTATTGAATTCATACTTTTGTTACTCTTGTGTAGTTATGACTTTATTAATGATTTTGTAATACAATGTCATCTCGTTGTGACAGTATCTTGAAAGGCAGTTACATGTAACATCAGCAAGTAAATTATTGTACTTGTTTAAGGTGCAATAGGAAAACCTGACAGATTAGTAAATGCATATGAAAAATAAAAGTGTTGCACCTAAGGTGATCACTTTAAGCTGTAATCACAAATTGGTATTATGTACATGCATGTTACATTTGAGAAATGTGAAGAAAGAATAAATAAAATGAAATGTAGACTGATTAAATAACATCAACAAATGTGTCTTTATTGTATCGTTGCTTTGTTTTATTATTTCGAATTTGGTTTGATGTTCTTACCAGTCTTCTCATTTTCTCCTTTCATCCCTGTCATGTCTTTGGTTGATGAGCTTTTCTTTGTCAGTCTGTGAGGCTAGCTTGGTACCAGTCATCAGGCGAGCCGGAAGCAGTTCGGGATTTGGGGGGCAAATATTCCAGGGGGCTCACCTTTTAAGCGCATTCACGTAATGATCAAAAACATTTTGGGGGGCAGAAGAAAAATCTGCATCATCACCACCACTCTTCCATGTTACATGCAGGCCCTGCGGAACGTTTTTCAAAGTGGAGGATTAACGATCAGGTAGGGTGTAGCAAGCGAAACGAGTTGAGCATAAATTGGCGTGGGGTCCAGGGACATAGCCCCGGTAAGGTCAGGGATTTTAGGCATGAAATAAAGGTCAGTTAAGCATAATTAAATACCTGATTTACCTCAATAAATCAATGTATATATTATTTACTAGTTTTCCTACACTACACAGCCACCGAGAACTAAAACGTCACATCCGCGCATGTCCAACCCTAATAGATCGCCTTCCCAGGGTCGCGTGCACAACCGCGCGCCTGCAATCTTCCTCTTCTTTTCTCGCACGCCAAGAGAACATGTAGACAGATAAGTCACTTGTATCAAATTTGAGAATTTTACTCTTTTTGGCACGGTTTGATTTGTCTTGCATATCTGTTTCTGTCCTCCTTTTAATTGCGATTAATTTTGTGGTACGGCCCTGCATTTCCTACTTCCGCTTCCGGTTTGCAGGCTTTTTTCCGGCTGCTTGGCTGGGCGTTCTGTCTCGGCTTGGCGCCTTATTGTTGGTTATTTGCTTTCCGTTTCCCTGAGCACAGCTTGCTGCTGGTGCGGCCTTTGTCTGCATGTGTTCTGTTAGGATTTGTTTTCGTGCATACCTTTTGGTATGAGTGTTATTTTGTGAAACATTTTATTTGAGATTGTTTTGTGTGTGGAAATAAAGCGAGTGCTGAGTTTATTTTGCTCTCGTTTTCTATGTTTGGATTTTCTCTTTGTTTGTAGTTTCTTTTTGTTCGTCATGGATTCGTCTGAACCTAGTGCCCGTACCTCTTCTCCGGCAAGTAAGGCTTCTGGGATTGTGATTGGGATGCTGACGTCTCACTTGGGTGCTGTTTTCCCGGGCGTACGTGTTGGCGGTGGGTAAGATGGTAGCGGCTCCCGGACAACTTCTATGTTGTTTTGTCAACTCGGCTCCTTTCGGGCTCGACAATATGGCTACTGCTGGGACCTGTCTGTCTTCCCGGCCACATGCCCCCTTCGCACACTGGGCACCATCGTCGTTGGCTCGCCGACCACTGACGTTCGGGCCCGGGGTAAGGATGTGGTTGCTTTTATGACCACTGACATTCGGACACCGATCTCTGGCATAGCTCTAGCCGGTGATCTCTGCCATTTGAGTGATTCCGCAGCACCTTGTTCAGCCTTGAGTCCTCAGGAGCCGGTTCCCTCCCATCACAGACGGGTTGCTCGAGCCGTAACAGACTGTCCGACCGCCCCACCCAGGGGTTATCTGTATCCCGGTCCCGTGTTACCGGTTCAGCTTTGGATCTGGAACCGGGCTGCCGGTTTGGATTTGGATCCGACCCGGTTTGCCCATTCGGTTTTCGGATCCGATTCCTGGATTTCTGATTCAGAGATCTGACTCACGTATGCCAGTCGTGGGTGTTTGAGAACCGTGAGAGTTCATATGAAAGCCTGAGTGAGTCAGCTAGTGTTTGTGCAGCCACAGTCACTCAGAAGCCGGTTCCCCTCGTCTCAGACGGGTTATTTGAAAGCTAGAGACCACGCAACAGCTCTGCTGAGCATGAACCGTTGGTTGAGGCCAAGGTGCCGACTTCTCTGCCAGCGGGCCCAGCCTGCAGGTAGTCGTAGCATCTTTCAGGCAACGTCTCTTTGTAAATAAAGTCTGCCTTTGGCACACATTAGACTTAAATTGAGACTTAGGTCTTCCTCGTACGTGGTCGACTCTGTCAGGTAGGTATTTGGACTCAATTGTTCGGGCGACTGGGCTTACCAGGAGACCCGAGAGGCATCCAGGGTTCAGACGTAGGCTCAGCTTCTACTCATTCCCTGATTCGTTTCTGATTTCGAGGGTGTTGCTGTTTCGGCATCGGATATACCTTTTTAGGCCCAGGTTGCCTGGTGCTGCTGTTGGCCTCCCACAATGTGCCGTCGGCCCGTTGCACAGTGGGCCAGGGAGGAACCAAAGTGCGCCAAAACTAAGTTTGGGTGATTTTTTTTTTCCAATTTTGTTCTTGCCCAGTTGAAAGGTAATACATAGAGGAATACCTCAGTGAAATATTTAATTCCGGTATGCACAATAAGGGTATAAATTTACTACTTCAAACAGCAAAATCCTACATATTCACAGTTTTAGTGCAAAAGTGACTTATTTTATAAATCTTTCAATTCAACATGAAGTTTTTAAGTTATTGATATGAAATTGCTCTCACTTATTCCTGATAGTTTATTTTGTTGAATGAATGGGTTAAAATTAACAGAAACACAATCTTCATGATATATTATAGGGTAATTCACTGAAAAATGGACTAATTATCCATGTTTTTTATAAATCCAGAAGAAATGTTTAGATCTCCGCGGTGTACCGCTTAAATTTTAATACCACCATTTTCTCTGATGTCTAAGCTTCAAGTTGATACCAAATTTGGCTGCCCGATCTTGCCCGTTGTTATGTTAGAGCCGATTTCCCTTGCCACATTGCCCCAAAAAATGTGGGTTTTTGGGGTCCGCGGCTGAATCATGAAGGATTCGTGGTCATAAATCACGGCGCGAGGGGGCGCGTGACACTTGTTCTGACACTGCGGACCAAAATAAACACATTTTTCGGGGCAATGTTGCAAGGAAAACGGCTCTAACATAATAATGGGCAGAATCGGGCAGCCAAATCTGGTATCAACTTAAAGCTTAGACATCAGAGAAAATGTTGGTGATAAAATTTAAGCAAAAATCCCTGGAAATCCAAACATTTCCTCTGGCTTTATAAAAAAATAAATCCCCAAACATGAGTTTTGGCACACTTTGGTTCCTCCCTGGCCCACTGTGCGTTGGTTAGAGCTCGCCCTCTGAGAGGCCCTATTCTGTGGCTGGCTTTTCTCCTCTGGCTTTTTGCCCATTGGTGGTGGCTAACCTCTCTTCTCCCACTTCCCTTGCTACTCATCAAAAGGCGGATTGGGTAGCTGGGTCGGGACTCACCCTTCACCTCTGGGGTTTTGGTTTTTCCTGGGTCTCGGTCCTGTCTGGGACCCTTTCTTGCAGTTGGCTTTGGTATCTGTGATCGGTTCTCGGTGGAGCTAAGACTTGCGGCTGACCAGTCCTCGAGGACTGTTGCGTGTGCTTCTCTTGGGAATTATCTCTTGGACACAATTCCCTGGCTGACCCTGAGGGTATCAGAATCCGTCTCTGCTGTTTTGAGGCAAAGAGCTACCCTGCAGGTTTCCCGTTTCCGGCTGGTTTCAAATAGGTGATTTCTTATTTCTTTCTTTTTTGGA